ACACACACACACACACACACACACACACACACACAAATCTTCTCTGCATTTCTCGTCTTCTCTAGCTCACTTTCTAATCTAGTTGTCTAATAAACATTGCATTGTGCAACTATCGTTGGCTCTGTGATGAAGTGCCTTGTTCCTCTTTTTGTAAGTGGCTTCGGATAAAAGCCTCTGCTAAATACATAAATGTAAACAAAGACTGCTGTGAAACACTGAAGTAGCACTCGTACCCGCCGATGCCCGAGGTGTGGGGATGGATGATGCCCAGGCAGAGGGAAGCAGCTATAGCAGCATCAACGCTGGACCCCCGTTTGCCCAAAACGTCAAAGCCCAGAGACGTGCAGCGGGCCACATCCGTCACCACCGCGCCTTGATTATACACCTGAGGACAGAAGAGACTGACATAAGGAACAGTTCTGATCTTTTGGGGGGAAAAAATATCTATTTTTATATATCTATCAAAAAAAAATCTATTGGAACTTTTCCTTATTTTCATTTTATCTTCCACCATCCAAACCTCTTAAGTCTGATTGGACAGAATAACTAGTGCTGCCTTTTTTTAATGCATTTTTGTGCATTTCTATTTATACTAAATTAATGCGTTTATAGACTAAATACCATAAAGCCATTCTAGATATTAGAACCATTCAAATTTTACCCTTGATATTTATTGCGCAATTGTCGTGTTAATTTTGACAGCCCTAAAATAACACACCTTTCTTCAATGAGCAAAGCAATCTGAGGTACATCGTTCACTGAAAACCAACCAAAATGCAGGTAGTACTTCACAGCACCTGTGGGTCTCCAAAGTAGATCTGCATTATGAGGGCCACGGTGACCCCTGTGGCGAAGGTCAGGCAGGCGGTGATGATGACGGTCAGCCCGTCACGTGTGCAGGCGCAGTCCTGCGCCAGCGGGTCTCTGCTGGTCTCTCTCAGAGGAGAGATGTCCTGACTGGCCAAGTCTGAGGCAGAGGAGGGCAGCTGCTGCAGTCGGGCCGTCTTCAGGAATAGATCAGGGTCTGCACACAGAGACAGGACAGAACTCAGGCCACTGTGTGGACACTACACCAGACGGCACTATGATCAAACGCATTACCTGTGTCCTGCTCACTGAGGAAGTTATCATTGTCTTTGCGTGATTTGAGGATGTTGTCGGCTGAAACTTCATCTTCTGGTAGTCTAGGGAAGCTGGTGATGCTCATGTAGTCCACAGGTGAGTACGCGCTGCTCAGAGCCGCATCCTTCTCAACCACCGTCACTCCCGTATCGGCTGCCGGAGAGTACATGATTTACCTGAAATCACCAACTGGAATTCAGTGCAATGCTGACAAATTCATAGCACAGTTATTCAATATAACATAGAGAGTGCTGCAGGCCCTGTTGAAAACCCAGCGTCAAAACATACCTAACCAGCATATGCTGTTTTTTTCAACAGGGGGGATGAGGTCCAAAACCCGTAAAACGAGTTTGCATTTTAGCACTTCCGGTTCCATCGTCCTGAAGCCAATGGGTTTTTGGTTAAATACCTGAAATAAGGTCTGTGGTGAACACAAGCTCAAGATACGTTCACATTTCATTCTACGACGTAAAATACATCAGCAATACCCCCTTTTGGTATTTTTTTAAAAGGCAGCTACTAACAAGTGGCTAAATGGCACTACAGAGGTTGTCAGAGATCTTAAACGTCGTCACAGTGAACAGGTAAACTCATCTACTAACTAGCTGCTGTCAGTTTTATTTTCTTTGTTATCACGCTCTTGCAAACTGCTCAAACTTAAAGACTGAAAGAGTAGCTGAAAGCTAAATGGTGGTCATGTGACTGTGGGACACTTCGTTTATAACTTACATTTAGTTGTATTTAGGCTTCAAAATTCATAAAAGTTGTGTTCACACATGAAAATCATCTTGAACAAAACATGTAAGAATTGTAAACGTTTGTTGGTCACAGAGCTCATTTTCTATAGTAATCCAAAAACCAATGGAAAAATCCTATTGTGTTTTTTGTCAAGGGACCCAGGGTGATTTGAGCTTCCAAACATGAGCCACAACTGGAGCACTCTACTGAGCAGAAATACAGTAGCACAGGGTAAAGGCTGTCTCATGCTATAGAAAACTGGTTACATTTCTCCATCTCTCTACAGCAGTGACTCTCAACCCTGTTCCAGGAGTCGCCCAACACCGCAGATTATGAACGTCTCCTTACTCTCACACATCCATTTCAGGACTTGGCCTCTGGAGGCCTGAATCAGGTGTGTTTGATTAGAGAGACACACAAAACGTGCAGTGCTGAGAACAACCGCTCTCTTCTCGTAACCCTGAAGACCTGGATTAGCTGGTTCAGGTGTGTTTGACTGGACCTGACTTCAGCTGCATTACGACACATTGCCTTCTGAAGAGCTGCTTTACAGCTACATTAGTTTCATAACTGATGAATATTGACCCGGTTAGTTAACTGAATCAACAATTAGCTAAACGGAGCTATGACACTATTGTGTTTTGAAACCTGTTTCATAATTGATTAATTTTGCAACATTAACACTATTTTCCGGTTTATTACTCTGAAGCCGCTTTGGAAACAATCTGTATTGTATAAAGTGCTACATAGTAAATGTGACTTGACCTCTAGGAGAAGGATCGGAGAGTTTCATCAGGATTTTCTCTGCTGTGTGTCGGTCGACCTATTCGCTGCTTTTATTTGCCTTAGTTTGACTGCATGTTTATATGCATATTTATGAATAGCTGACACGCAATTCTCCACCTAAAGCAATTTCACACAGCATGCTTCTCCTTTTGTAACTATTAGGCATGCAGTTTTTATGACCATATTTATTGACATACTATACTGCATTTTCACAAATGTCAAACCACCGAACCATTTCAAACTTTAAAATAGTAAAAAAAATAATAATAATAATAAAAAAAGGTGACCCGTAAGACCTAAAAATATACATTTTCACTAATGCACATTATTTTAACCTAAAATCTTAACGCTGATCTAAATAAATAAATAAAAAACATGTTTTTTTGCGTTTTGTAAACTATACTGACATTGTCACCCTGAACTGAATTAACAATTCAACACCAATCTCGAATACAAAACTCATCTGAAATCACAATTCATCACTTCCAGTGTGACATTATAAATCAGCCCTCTATATCTTTTATTCATTGACAGCAATGAAGGCCTGGTGGATGTTCGTTTATAGCTGATATCGAAAGCATCGCTGGCCTATAGGCGATAAAGAGAAAAACAACAACAACAACAACAACAGTCATGTAAATCAGTCGATATAATATAATAAAACACCTCGTCAAACCGCACACAGCAGGATGCGCGTATGAAGAGCCGCCGATCAGCTCCCCTTCACAATATTACTGTAGTGCTACAGATCGAAATAATACGTGTCGACTGCACGCGTTACTAAAATAAAGCGGAGCGCGCGACGAGATGCGCGTTAAACAGCACGCTTAATTTCCATCCATCTGTATCTCCATCCATGCTATCGCGCAGATCAGAGCCGTGTGTTGTAACTGATTAACACGCTCGGAGTTTTTACACGGATACGCAGCAGAAAACCTGACACATCGACGCGGTGTTACAGACGCAGGTGTGCGGGCGTTGGCGTTCACACATGCGACGCGTTTTACGCTTTTACGCACAGAACACAATGATGTTTTATTTAATTTAACTATGTATGCTTTTTAGCTTGCACGTCGTTTTAAAACGCAATGCAACGGCCAAAGACGCCTTTTGATGATGCTTTTGTTTACACCAGCACTTAAACGACAGCAATAATGCTTTAACTCCAGCGTTTTCAACATACTTACAGGTGAAATGCGCCGTTCAGATCCTTTGTCACATTAGTCCAGGTGAATTACTGCATCCATTGCTTTAAATGAACCAAACACTGCGCATGCGCAGCAATCATTGAATAGAAGTGGATCCTGCTTAGCAGGTTCCTCATCCCTCCCGAGAAGGCTTTTGTGTGTGCATAATTAAATGCGCGTCAAACACTCTGAAGTTTCTCGGAAATGTGGACTATGTCGATGTAATTATTAAGTTTACACTGTAGCTAACCCTTATTTTTATGTAGCAACCATGGTACGTTCTTTATGATTGACAGATCTAGTACTGTGGCGTTCCTTCAGGGCCCCTATGTATAAAACTTCTCAGAAATGCTCTTAAGAATAGTCTTAAGCTTTGACTTAAGTGTCAAAAAATTCGTAGTAAAAAGTAGGACTTTTCTAAGAGTAGGAGACCTTTATAAAGACGCTAAAAGCAGCTGTCAGTAAAGTCTAACACTGATTCTTAAGTGTTGACTGAGGTGGCACTTAAGTGTTGTGAACTAAGGACTACAATGATGTCAACACAAAATGGCCGACCTCGACCTCTGAATCAGCCAATAGTGAGCCTGCTCATGTGAAGTCACAGCAGCACAACACCAATCATTTAATGTAACTACAATAAAATCATTTAATTAAGACTGAAATATTTTAATTAAAAAAAAAAAAAATGTGCAAGATTTTGTAAGCATATTGCATAGTTGCTTAGTCAGTTGTTTTATTTGTGATAATAATGCAATGAAACAAGCCAAATTTTGCGGTCATAATTTTTGGCCATGCTATCATACAAAGACATTATGAACACATGCAAAAACAAGAGGACCAATGAAATGTAAATAACGTATGTTGTAGTCAATGTGCCAATTTAGTGATTTTGTCTCTAGATTTAGTGACTTCCGCATCCCTTTAGAGACTTTTTTTAAAAACCTAGCAACAAAATCAATTTCTTGGACAAACGTTTACTACATTCCGAGACTCTCCCATGACGTCATAAAGGCGAGTTCACTGATCTATATAAATATAAATATAGATCAGTGAAC